AATTAAAAAAAAACAAAATAACAAGAATAAAAGTGTCTATATCTAATAAATTTACCAGTTGTCAATATCTTTGCTACTTTTATGCATTTTAGAAGTTTACCATCTTTTCAGTCAGCGTCTTATATTTGTTTTCTCGAGAACACGGCCCATCAACAAAATCCCATCTAAATGATGTGGCGTGAGAACGTACAAAAATCAAACAAACATGTCTGAACCCACGGGACATTGGGAAAGAAAAACTGTTGAGGCAGCACAACAACAACAGTACTTCCACGGTTGATGGACATTATAGAGACCGTGTTGTAGACAACATAACATTAGCCTCATTTTCATTCCACCCCTCTCTGCCTTCATGACCATCTGATACGACAAAGAAATTTTTTTTTTTTTTTACATTTTTCCATCTCAGCACATGTTGAAACTTTCTCTCTACTTCATTCCCACAGTTACTACATTCCAGATGTGCCTCCTTCCTTCCATCATTAAGATTTCCCAAAGCATTCTGGGGGATACAGCCTTTTATCCTTGTCAGCTCCACTCCCTGGACATCCCTAGGAGCTGGTTTCCATCTGCCACACCCTGCCTGCTGGTACACGATGTTATAGTTTCTGTGTTTGTCTCCTGGCACGGCCGGTCGATCTTATGGAGGTTTATCACCGTCCCCGGCCCCTCCCTCATTAGGCAAGGGTGGAATCATGGAGGAATTAGATAATTTGTCATAATAAAGATTATCTTGTTGTAAAGTGACCTGATAAGTGAAGGATCTGGGATGCATACCACACACCACAAGGTCAAACTCCTGGTTTGGAGGAGTTACGTGCACATACTGTAACTCCTCTCCTGCCTTCCTCTGGATTTCCTGTTTCTGTTCAGTCACGCACACAAAAGAGGGTCCAGTAAAATGCCTGCAGGGCTGAGGTCAAAGGTCATGATACAAGATCATATTTAGAGATCAACCCACTCTTCACACACTTCCTTTTAAGTTCTGCAACTTCCACATGAAACTCAAACAATGCTGCAAAAATGAAACCAGTTTGTGCAGGCCTAAAAAGACAGCTGGGAGCACTCTAGTAAAAAAAAAAAAAAAAAAAAAATCAATAATGGAACACTGCATGTAGTCAGGAGACATCCACTGCTCTGTTGGATAATGTTTAATTTCAGAGGTTATGAATCTACTTTTTTACAAACAACCTCCAGTAAACACTCCCCTTCCTCCAGCGGCCGAGACATTTCTGTCAAATATTTCAGTGAAGGAAGTTCAGGGTTAAACCTAACAACCATGATTCAAACAATGTGTGGTCCAGAAAGTGACTGAGAATGTGTGAAAAATAAAGATTCTTGTGGCCAAACTCTAGAATGTTAATGCCTTTAAATGTCCTGTTTGGTCCAGAGGTCACAGAGACAGTTAAATGTTCATATTAATTTTTTTTAAATGTTTTTTTCAAAATCTTTCACATTTTTTATGGAATTTTTGGACTATAATTCACCTTCATCAGGAAAGTTTAAAAAACGTATACATCTTTAACTTCAGGAAACGTAAACAGATATTTACCAACAACCACGTTCAGCAGTGTTTTCAATTACACCACCCATAGGGAGATGTTCAGTATCTGTACAGTAATAAATGACTGCTAACACAGACCAAATGTTTCAGTCACTGCTGCTGCTGAACGTCTGCAACCAGAGGACACTGAACTTGGAGTGACGTCTGCAGTAGTCACAGAAAGTCGACGACTGTAAATCTGACGCCCTGTCACACAGTTCTGCCTGATGTGATGTTTGCATCTTATTTTACGGCAGATGACTGTCATTCTGGTGGCCTGACATGAAGCCTAATAACAGACCTGTGTCCCATCATCTCATCTACTGTATGAAGAAGAAGCCTCTTCTTCCCCCGGCTCTCACAATGTACTCTTTGTTCAACTTTAGCTTAGCATCGCCTAGAATAAGGCTAAAAGGTTTTGGCTGCAGAGGAGCCGCCGCAGCAACGACAGTCAGCGTTGCAACTATTTAGTACTTCACAGGGTGTTCAGGAATCAAACAGGACTTTGTTTTAATTGTGATAGTGATGATATGCTGCGCAGCTGAACAATGGCTGAGGGAACACAGTCAGGGAGTGGTGTTTTCACTGAATTACAGCTGGGAGTCTGCTTTAAGAAAAACAAACATGTTTTTTTCTTTCTTTTTTTTTTCAATGCTGTGATGATTGCCATCATTATTATGAGGATTTCTTTGTACAGGTACTTATAATTTCAAGCCCTTTTTTTTAGTTGCTGTGATTTAACTTTAAATAAGTAATATTAACCCCCAAATGTGTTTGCTGGGGCTGCAATCAAACAGTGGGCATTTCCTGCGTGGAACCAGAGGAGTCATAGTTCTCTGTTGCTGCAGTAGTCTGCACTCACACCCAAGTGTCTCATACAGATGCTGCCTGGAATGACACTCCCTGCTGGTAAATCCTCAGTGTCCCAGACACAGACCTGTGTTTCAAGAATGACAAACGGCCCCAGATGTAAAAGAACAAACTTGGTCTCACATACAAGCACAATGAGCCAGTGAAAAGACCAAGGGTGGGCTCAACGTTTTGACGCTAGCTGTAGATGAATGTAGGAGAGAGGAAATGAAAAGACAATTAAAGTTAAAAAAAACATCATATGTCCAACGTAATGATTGTCTCTGAAATATGTAATCCTTTTAAAGACAAGGCTGTGTACATCTGAAAAGAAAATCTAGTGGTTTCAAAGGTAATAAAAAATTGCAAAAAATATTTTATTAACTTTTTTCCTCTGTGACCTGGTACTAAAGGATGCATGGAAGACCTACAGTCATTTTTTGTTGTTGAAACCAACAGGTCTTTGAATTGGACTCATCCTGGTGATGTCAAACCTACGCCACCATGTGACTGAGTTCTGCACCTTCTGTTCCCAGACTGCACATATTTACCTTTTCACTTCTCACACAATGGGTGAACAAATAAAACTAGTGGCACTGTCCAAAACACACAGCTAATTTGTGTGTTCATTCAGAGCACAACAACCAAACAAAGCCTTTTCTGCGAGTCGTTCCTGTCTCCACCGTTTTTTAAAGCCTGTTATCTCCCTGCTGCACATTAACCACCCTCCAATTATCCAATTAGCTTCCACTCAGCCTCTGCTACACCATAAAAAAGCCACAGGCACACATTTCTGGCACTGCTTTTCTTTTGTGTGCAGAAACTTAAATGGCTTTATCATTCAGCCATTAGCCAGGCTTTAAATTAAGTGTTTTTCTTCTCCCTTCTGCTTTTTTATATATATATATATAAAATTTAATATACTGCTTGCAATCTCTCCTCCTGCAGCTCTGCACCTCTTTCTAATCAGTTATTGTTGGCAGGGCAGAACAGCTGGCATTCACGTGCCCACTTGGCCTCAGAGATAAGTCATGCTTCTGTCAGGAAAGGTTTGTTTATGATTTAAAACTCATGGTCAGTTCAGTCTTTGAACATTTCTGCTAATGTTGGTTATAGCAGTGGCACTCACAGTATTTAGTTTTGCACTGTTTGAAGAACCACTGAAGTGAAAGACAGAAATCTTGCATTTAGGCGACAAAAAAACAAAACAAAACAGATTTTTTAAATATTTTACTTGTGATGGTGTTCAGTTGTTTTCTTTTTTTGTATGTAGTAAAAACAGAGTTCAGGGTTAAGGTTTTTTTTCTAAGAGCTGAAGGAGAAGAGAAGGAAGGATGCCCAGGTTGGATAAAGTAAACAAAATCACCCAGTGGATGAAGTTAAGAAGGAAAACAACTGTGATATTTCCTTCGGTTTTGTTTTCCTTTCTGTCCCTTTGCAAACATGCCGCTCTATTTTTATCAGACCTTTACCAAACTCCTCGGAGGTTTAAACTTTATCGACTGAGCATGACTTTCTGTTGGCTGAGTACGGAAACCGTTACGTCTAGAGGAACAGAATAAACCTTGAGCAGAAGTTACTCACTTTCTCTGTGGAGCTTTTCCTTCTTCTGCCAAATTATCCTTCAGCGGATGAAAACTTTCTCCTCTTGACTGAGTTCTTGGCTCACTTTACTTGTACTTATATTACTACCTCCCCCTCCCACACACACACACACCCCTTCTCCCCCCTGTCCCTCCCTTTACTGACTGCCCCCACGCCCACCCTCACCAGGAGGCATGGGTGATTTCTCTGCTTAGAGAAGCACGGAGCGCACTGAGCTACAGCCACAGCACACCCACAAACACTGTTGTACTTACACACTTTCATACTTGGACCACACTCTCACACATACTTGGCTCCAGAGCAGAGAAAGTTTGTTACGCAACACTTAGCCCCGGTGCAGGAAGGGAGTGGTAACACTTAAACCTACAGGAGGCAGGAAGTTATGGACTGTGTAGTGATTCAACAATATTATGACAAATTAATAATAACACTGAGTAAGAGGCTGTGATTGTGTTTGAGATACACACTGTAATAAAGCCTCATAAACAACAGCAAACATCCAGAATTAAATTGGAAGCTAATTAAATTGATGAGCTCAGGAGCTTCTTTTTTGTTTTTAATGATGGGGAATTGTTTTAATGGATTACATTATAATTGTCATATTTCTATCTAATTAATTAAATTAATTAAACTGTAGTTTGGTGTAGTCTGTTATTTATTTATTATATAGATTTTGAGATAAAATCAAATTTCCAGCTAATTTATATGACTAGGAAAGGGATTTCTAGGAAATCATTCTAGTAAAAGGGTATAAACTTAAGCAATCCTTAATACTGACGCACTAGTTGGATAAGGATATTAAAGACATATTTAGTTGGGAAACACACCAAGTGTTATTCATTCATAGACTACAGGTTTTGCTCCCTCACATTTGTTCACATAACTATGTGAAGAAACCAGAGTGAAGTCAGACTTTAGTCAATCAAAAGCCCTGACTCATGTTTCTTCTTCCTCCTCCATCTTGTTGATATGTCACTTGTTACAACAGAGTTCTGGTAAATTAAGGTCAGAGAGTAAAAAAAGATTCAAACTATGTTTGCCTGTCGCTGCATGTACCATATAAATAAAATTCCTGAGAGATTATTTTGTCCCTGCAGCAGCTGCAGATTAATGCTAATGACTTTTTTTTAAGGCTCATGTACAAAATCAAAATTTTTGTTCCATTATTAATCAGCCTTAAACCTAAAGGCTTTAAATGTTAAAGATTAATTGAATCAAAAATCCAGCCACGGCTCAGACGCAATGTACATTAAAACGCATAATCAAAAACATACTAGAATTACAATATTATTAAAAAGAAAAAACACATTTACTCACCAAAACCTCTGAATATTTGGACACAGAATCCATCCTCCTCTCTTTCCTTAAGGGGATTTCAATCACTCTGTTGTACTGATTATCCGTGCGTTGCATTCTGAGGAGGAAATAGATGATGAGAGCAGAATACTCTGTATTATTTTACAAATTATCACAATCACAAATCATGGTCAATTCCCAGTCTTTGAACATTTCCTCATAAATGCCTTTAGTGATTCAGTGTGATTCATCTTGTTGATACGTCACTTTGTTACAACACAGCTCTGGTAAATTAAGGTCAGAGAGTAAAAAAAGATTCAAACCATGTTTGCCTGTACCATATAGATGAAATTCCTGTTACACCACTGCAGAAGAAGTACAGGATGAACATCACGAATGGCTTCAAGTTTGAGAAAACATTTTGATAGACAAGGGTCTGGACAGTAATAACAGAGAAGAGTCCAGTACAGACATGACAGCAACCAAAATACAGCCAGGTTTCTAAGAATTATTTCTACAATCTTTTTTTTTTTTTACCTATTGCTTTATATTTATTTAAAATTTGAGACAATCATCAATTCCATCTGGTGATTTGACTGCTGTGTCCTCCCCAGAGACAGCTGACATTCCTGGTTGTGGTAGACCTCCACCCCTAGTTACCCCTAAGCCTTTTACACCAGTGGTTCCCAGAACATTGCTGCAGTGCCACCCCTTTATAGATGGGACTGTTTTGTGGAGCCCCGACAAGTTGACACTGCAAAACCATTACATCAAAACTTAAAAAAAAACAAAACAAACAAAACTTTGAAGTACTGGTTCACAATTTCTTAAAATGTATACAGTGAATAGATTTTAGTCTAAGTACAGGACGAGCTGCGAGGTGTCAGTGTGTTAGCGCCTTGGCATCGAGGGAAACACAACAAAACCGGCAATAACAGCAGAGTAAGTCCAAGGACACTACTAAAAGCATAGTGTTCCCTCATGAACTCCGAAGAAAGAACCACCTTGTAAAGTCAGGAAGCTGAATGCACATCAGCCATATCCATCCCATAAACAAAAGGTGGAACATTGACTGTGAGTAAACAGCATTGACAGTTGCCAAACTGTAGATCCTTGTTACGACAGGCTCCCTGGCAGACTCGCCTTCTTTCCCGCTTCCTAAATACAGCAAACCATGTCGAGAATATTGGCAGTAATAAGGTGAGCTGGAGAATGTGAATCTGAATCATCATTTTTACAACATTTTCAGGAGCTGTAGTGCAGCCGGTGGCCCACACCGCTGTGATAAATGGAATGGACAGTGTTGTTGTTTTGGGTTTTTTTTTCACCAAGCGTCGTGCGTGAGGGGAAACATAAAGGTGACTGGGGTCGACTGTGTGTCTGAGTATAACAGATGGGCCTGCGTCCTGGCTCACACGCTGTACGTGGGAAACCAAACAGCCAGAGTGTCAGAGACAGGACTAAAGTGGGTAAAATGGACCGCAGTAGTACAGTATATATATAACCATGTGTAAAACACAGCAGTGTAACATAATACTGCCATTCATGCTGTGCATATATATAACTGCTGTTGGTATGAGCACTGATTCTTATCTACATGCACAGTGACTTGTCCCTGTGCCAGGCAGCGTCACTGAGGCAGCTCTGGCATGTGCCGTATTGACACTTCACTGTTAAATAATAACCAAGTTTCCACTCATTTTCTCCCCCAGTCATTAAAACACACAGTTCTGGACCTGACATTAAGATTATGAGGAGACTGAGCTGTGGCCTAAGGCTCTAGGCTGACGTTTTATTAAACTCAATTCATAATTTTGCCAAATTACTACGGGAAAAAAAATCAAGATATTTTAAAGTATAAATATAATTCAAAAGTGACCGTGAATTAAATTACTTTGTAGTCAAGTAGACGTCTGTGTTTGTGTTTGTAATCACTAATATTTAAGATCAGACTGAAGACTGTTTTCATGCATCTGTACCACACAGAGTAACAATGAAGTTGTAACGAATTTTACTGTTGGCTAAAGCAGATCACTGAAGAAATTAGAAGATGAGGAGATAATACACACAGACAAATCATTTCTAAAACAATGCCCACTATCAGAGAAACTGTGATAGAATCACCATCACACCCTGCCTCTGATAATTAAACATGATTCAAGTCACAGACATTAGTCACTTGTGTAGCAGTGATGTGATGAAATGTGTTCCTGAGGAAGTTCAACAGTGGTTTCTAGCACCACGGTTGCTCTGGATATAAAATAATAACAACAACAATAATAATAATAATAGTACGGACAGTCAGAGAGAATCAACAGGCAGAGCGTCACAGCCACTGAACAAATGATTCATGGGATAGATTGTATATCAAGCCCTGAACCTGAGCAGATGAGATTTAGTTCCTCCGTTGTGTACCGACAGACAAACATTGACATTCTGGACCAGAAACACTATTCTGAGACGAGCAGAAAAGCAGGTAATTGAACAGCAGAGCACAGCTTCTACACTCCAACTTGACATCCAGACTGTGGACATATAATATATGGTGTTTCATGATATCAACAGGTTGTGAGGCTGTGAAGACTGATCCTGACCCTCCATCCATACTTTTACCAATATTTGGTTTTATTTTCCTGATCATATTCAGTTTCATTTCTCTTAAAATCCCAACGTTGCTATAATGATGACACAAGCGTCTTATCAATAAAGTTTAGAGAAGTGAGGGCTTCAAAAATGAATTCACTTGCTCTCGGTACACCACATACTATCAAATAAAAATCTCTTGACAAAAAGCAGGTCAAAGGTTCTCCCCCGACGGACGCCTTGTCAGAGATAAGAATTGAGCTCATTCATTGGTTTGAACCCTTGGCTGTGGTGTGTGGCGCAGACCACATATCCTTCTTCTGTCTGAACATGACAAAAGGATGATGAAACAGGAACCAATCATCACTCAATCATGGAACTCTCCTTCTCTAAACCTGTGAACCAGACGTAGTTAAGACGAGCGGATGAGTCATTTTCCATCGGGATGATGTCATTGTGGTTATCGTTGTGATTATCCCTCTATCCATGATCGACGTTCCCTATTTTTCCATTCTTTTTCTTCTCAAATTTTACAGGATTCCAGAGAGTAATTACATTTTTAACATGAGTGTTTGAAGCACTGGAGGATGAACTCAAGACAGGGGTGGAATGGACAAAGACAAATGTCAGAGGGTGAAAGGTGTAAGTATATGACAGTATGTGTGGGCAAAGAGACTTAAAAGATGTTGGGGATGGAGCAAATGGAAAAATGAAGTCCCTGGAGACGATTATTAGTTTCAGAAGAGGAGATGAAGGACTGGGTGAGATGAAGGTAAATAATCCACAGGGGTGATACTTAAAGCAGGAGCTGGAGGATGGGAAAGAAAATGTAGAAAGTGGGAAAATTAGGCCTGGAGGAAGATAAAAGAAGATGCTCAGAGCAAAAAGAAGCAAAAGAAGATGATTATTAAAAAGAAAAAGACTTTGGATGAAAGTAGTTACTCAAAAAGAAACTATACATTAAATGACTAATGCAGCAGATTGTTTTTCTGCTCACTTTTTGTGTTTATATTTAAATATATTACAAACAAGAGATTATAATAATATTGTTTCCTAAAATCACAGTCAACATCTCTTTTATCAAGGACAGTGAGAGATGTGGCGTCAAAAGCTCGACTGACGTCAATAGTTTAAAGCCTTGGACTCCAGTCAACATATCTTTATATTATCCATTAACAATGCTGCCCCCAAGTGGTTAGAACAATAAACGACTGTACCTACAATCACAGCACTGGGTCAATAGCAATTTTAGACAGCAATAAAATGCCATGTTGAAAATTGAACGTAAAGTATAACGTTTTTTAAATTAATAAATAAATGTGATAGATTTGGTTCTTAGATTTGGCTAAATATAGAAGTAACAGATTGAAACATTCACTTTTTGTGTAATGGTAATTCGATTTTTATTATTTTATGTTTGTCTGAAGTTCCTCATTCATTTTTAGATCGATTTAATAAAAAGTGTGTGATAAAAAAAGAATATTTGCAATTACCAATATCAATTACACTGTCGTTTGTGCAGTGAATAAATATAATTTATTATATTTATAATTATATATAATTATAACATAAAATAAGCGATGTGTTATGCCCAAATGTTTAAGAAAATTACGTTTTTGTACAACGAAATGAGGATTTGTAGCCGAGGAGCTTCCTCGAGCTGCTGGTTTCTGCCACGTCATCACTACGCGACGACAACACACCGTCTGATCCGTCCCACATGTGAGTACTACTGAATAATGTTTACTTTTATGTCGTCTCTTTTTCTAATTTTTGTTACACCAGACGCCCATTATTTGTCAGTCACTGTACGGTGTAAACAGTTCTGTTAAACATGGAGTTTGTTTGATCGTTCTTTTTTTTAGCGATGTCAACCACGACGCCTATTTCCAGAACACAGTATTTTAATTAATCTGTGACTATTAATAGCGATATTGACCCAATTAAATAAAAGCCACAATCGTAATTGAGATTTTAGTAACATGAGATAAATTCGGCACAAGTCTTTTTTTTCCTAAAACATTGATCACTTGGTTACTGGATGATATATAATAATTATACGTAATAATCCAACGGTGTTTAAAAACGAGGTTTTACTACGTAATTAGACATTAAAAGCTCCTGATGAAACCTGTGATATCCTTATTTGTGTTTTCTATTTCATCTACAAAATCAGATACTTCAACAAAGACTAAAACACTTGTTGACAGTCATGTTGGCAAAAACAGAGACAAAGAGGTCTCAAAAAGGGACTGTGAAAAAGAGAAGACACCCTGGAGATGATGCAGAAAGTGGAGGGGAGAAAAAGAGGAAAGGTGGAAAAGGAGGAGACAAACCTCCAGAAGGAGGCAGGAAACGTCTGGATGCCCTGAGCGTGGGCTATTTCCGCAGAGTCAGCGAAAGACTGAGTGAAGGATTTGAAGATGATGAAGAAAAAGGTGAGAATATTTCTGATGATTTTGGTGATTGTGACATAACGAGTCAGGAGTATGATATCATTATGTGGGGCAGCGTTGGCTTAGTGGTTAAGGAAGTGGCTTTGAGTCCAGAAGGTTGCAGGTTTGAATCCACCAGCTGCCATGTTACCACTGAGGTGATCTGAGCATGGCACCGTTCACTTTGGTGATGAGTTAAAAACAGAGGTCGCATTTGGTTGTTATTTATGTTGTTGTTTTCCTGTTTTCTTTTCTACCACAGTGATGTTTGTTGAGAACGTCCTCTCTGAAGTCAAAGGTAAAGCGATGCTGGTGGCCATGGACCAGACAGGAAGCATCACTCTTCAGCGGCTGATGCCAATGTCCAGCCTTGAACAGGTCGGGGAGGTGCTGGCAGAACTGGGAGGCGAATCAGGGTTGGATTTTAAAACAGTTTCCTGCGATCGGTGTGGAGGCCATGTTGTGGAGAGTGCAGTCCGACAGATGGCCAGGTGGATGGGTGAGGATTCATATTCTCTTTTTTTTTTTTTTTTTTACAAAAAAAAAGCGAGTTCAGCTTTGTGATGAAGATGTAACCATTTCCAGAAGTGACACAGAAGAAGCCAGCTGCTGACACAAACCAGGAAGAGGAGGAGGAGGAGGAGGAGGAGGAGGAGAGCAGTGGAGTTCTCGAGGCGCAAGTGTTGTCTCTGGGTCAGGTGGTCAGAGGCAACACTGAGGAGTTCATTAAAAATGTCCACGGCTCACATGTGGTCCGCACGCTTTTACACGTGTTGGCAGGATGTCTAGGACCCCCCCGCACTGAGACTCGTCCAGGTACACACCCAGTTATGAGCCTCTCCTGTTAGAGCAGTATCAAGAGAACCGTTATTCAGATACTCATAGTATTTGAATGACATATCAGGCCTGATGTTGATGCATCTGTAGTCCTCAAATTTGGCCAATGATTTGATAATCATTGGCCAAGGAAAAGACATTTCCCACTGACAGTTTGCTTTTCAACAAAATCACAATTTAACAAAAATATGCAGTATACCTCAAAGTTGGAATAAAAGCAAATTAGGACTAAACAAGCAATTAATGGAAAAATTAAAAGGTTGACAGTTTGGGCTTAAAAGGAGCTTCAGGCTGAGGCCAAGTCTTTGCAGACAGGGGTCCTGGGGTCGATGACATCGTCCTTATTCTTTGTACCAAAGGAAGTTTCCAGTTCATCAATAACAACCTTGTTGATTTCAGTATTCTTCCATAATACTTTCCAACTATAAAAGTGTTTTGTCCATTTTTTTTCTTTTGCTCAGCATTGTCCTGAATCCTGACTGGAAGATTAATGCCTTTGACTACTGCTGCTGCTGTTTGTTCCCATTGTTCCAAGACATTCACCCTGCAGAACACATTTGTCTCAGTCCTGTATTTGTCACATTTTTACTGTTGTGATGTATTTTCTTCAGTTGGAAAAGAACGGAACGCTGCTCCACAGCTCACAGATTTTGAGATTCCTACGTCGTTTTGGTATGAGCTCAAAGACCTGACCGAGAACTTGATGGAAAATGTTAATTGTGAGTCACATTTTAACAAATTTCCCCAGTCTGTCTGGATTTGAAATGGGTATCATACATTCTCTGTGGCTTCTACCATTATTGTAAATGAATCTTCTTTAACATTTTTTTCTACTGGACAATTGGCTGAAATACTTTGACATTTTACATAATTTTTTTTCCTCTCTCTTTCCCAGTGAGCATCACAGATGCTGTTGCCAGTGCCGTGTTCCAGACCATGTTGACTGTGTGTCACAGAAAAAGACCCAAACTCTGCAAACAGCTCCTGACACGTACCATGGGGTATCTGTGGAGTCGCAGTGCTGCTCCAGGAGTGAGGTGAGGGCTCAGCGTTGCCTTATTACTCTTGACGTTTGTAGAGATGTAATGTAAACCAGACAGAGTTTAATTAGTTCACTGCTCTTTCCTCTACAGTCCACTTCTGGTCTTTCTGAAAGACCAGGCCTCCAGTCACCTCATTGAGACCATCATACGGCTCTCACACAAGCCTCTTCTGCGAGAACTTTACAAGAGTCATCTACAGGGTCAGCTGGTGGAGCTGGCTTTACACCCAAAAGCCAACTTCCCCATACAGAGGCTGACGGCAGCTGCAGCTAAACACAAAATGGTACCGTGCAGCAGCATCTGTTGTGAAGTTTCTTGAAACCTTTGAGACCATTTGCATGTGTCTGTTGTATTAAGCACAGAAGAGCTTGGATCTCACCTTGAAAATTCACCTGGTTTCCTCCTCCATTTATTTTTGTCTTTCCAGTTTCTAAAACTCTTTGATGAGTTGGTGCAGGGTATGGAGGCCATCTTGGCCGCGGGTCACATGGGTGTGATCGTCCAGTTGGCAGAGAGCTGTGCAGAGAGCGGGGAGAGACAGACAGAGCTGATGCAGTGTCTCCTGCATGTGAGCATGACAGAATATTCTTTTTGATTTATTTCTACAAGTGTCTCAGATCAATACAACAGACAATTCTCTCGCTCCTGTTTATTCCTGTTTTACGGCTGAGCCTGAAACTCCATCGCTGAGCAATAAAACCTCTTTAACGGTTGATTTGTGGATAATGGAAACCCCATTTGATGTTTTGGCCTCCCAGGCGTTTCACTGCGCTGAGCCTGGCTCCAGACATGACAGCTGCCTGCCTCTCTTCATGTCCCTGCTCACCTATGAGGTGTACTACCAGACTGAAACAGCAGAGGGCAGCACCAAAACGGAGGTGAACAGCTTGGAGAGCTTAAGTCACTTAT